CTGACGTTGACTTTGATTTATAAAAATAAAATAATAAACAGGATTTGATATGGAATAATACTCAATAATCATCAGTTTTTTGTTATATATTTTTAGAAAATCAACTATTTTTCAAAAATTACCTACATATCACATTTTGTGTCAATATCTACCCTCTTCTCGACTTAATTGAAAATAATTTAGGTGCAATTGTCCATAAATTTCTTCCAAGTTTTAGTTTAATAAAATTTACTTTTACTTCCTATCCTATGTGTGAGTAACTTTTTCAAATTTTACGCTATTATCACATATCGATCAAATAATACTATGGTAAGTTTGGTTTATCCCATAGAAGTAACGAATTATTTCTCAAAATAAACAGTTTCTCACTACTATCTTATCAATAAATTACCACTATAGCACAATAACAATCAGTCTTACACAGTTTTGGTATAACATTGGTAGCAAAAAATTATAAAAATTATAAATACTCACTTACTTTTACCTACCTATCATATGAATGAGTAACCTTTTAACATTTTACGCTACTATCACAAAATCAAATAATACTCTGGTAAGTTAGGTATTTTCTATAAAAGTAACAAATTATTTCACAAAATTAACAGTTGCCTGCTTCTATCTTATCAATAGATTACCAGTATAGCACAATAATATTCAGTCTTACACAGTTTAGCAGATTTAGTATAACAATCGTAGCAATAAATTATAAAACTTCTAAATACTCATATGCATGATACAGTTATACTTATTTGATATCACTCTCATAAAAAGGAACAAAATAGGTAAAAAAAGCATTATACTTCTTTGTGCCACTCTTCGAAGCAAAGAGCACACAGTGCTGGCTTTTCAGGGCAACCTTTACATCTCAGGCAAGTCTCCCTTCTCACCTTTTTTTTCGTGCACATCTTGCATTTCAAGTACTTTGATGTTTTGTTTGAACCCTCTTGCACGGGTTTCATTTCAATCCTAAAAGCACATTTTCAACTAAAAAGATACAGATTTTTGCAGTTCTCGATTAATTTTTCAAATATTTCAGAGATAAAAGCACCAGGATTGTTAGTTTTTTTTCCCTTGAATTTTTATCGTCTAATCTAAAATCAGATAATGGGAACATAAATCTCTTAACGTTTTTCGTGATTCCGAAAATTTCTCTACCAGTTTCATTAGTTGCCCAGAATTTCGATATCTTCATGAGATTAAAAAAACACCAGATGATAGCGTAAAACCATTCCTATTCTTTAATTTCCGAGTGTATTTACTTTAGCTTGCCTTAGTTTTGTACTTTTCTGAATAACTGTTAATTTTTTGGTTTGCATGAATGCATATAGTAAAATAAGTAAAATATTTTCATCTGGTACTAGCCACTGTTATAATTCAATTGGCGACATGTTTTGTTTTCCAGATGCTCAAATGCTGGAGCTGGACCAATGATACCAGGAAAGTGAGTTATTCATGTCGTGATGTGACCGCTTCAATCGATTTTTACCTCGATAATAATAGTTAGGAGATCTTCTTTTACTAAATCGGTATCGAATGAAGAGTTTGGTAAGAAAAAAAGAAACTGCGTGTAGTGGATTTTCATTAAAACTTATGTTTTCATCGCAAAGTAGAAAATCAGTTAAAGATTCTCAGTTAGGATCATTTACATCAAACAAGAGTTCCCTGATATCTCTTTCATTTCAATCAATTGCCATTTGTAGTGACGGCAAACATGACCTATATCGAGCCCTCGGTGAAGTTCGTGTTCATGATGCGTTCAGGGTATTTTACTGGTCTTTTGAATATGCATTTAATATTACCAGGATTGGCAGAAAAATTTGTTGCATCAAAATTTAATATATTTGTGTTGCGGACCTCCGTCGTACTTAATTTCTAATTTTCAAAGCATTCTAAAAATTCGCTTTCAGTCTTTTAAGGGTCTTACTTTCTTTATATTTTGTGTTACTCGAGTGTTTAGTATAGTTTAGTATATCTGGGTATAATGATTTCTTAAATTTACGCGAACACTACACATTTAATAAAACTAAATTTACGGATTTTATCGCGTTTATTTAACAGATTTTACTTATTTTTAATTCCCGACGTTTCGAGTGCTTTACAGCAACCATGGTCACAGGGGGGGGGGGACTGAGATGTTTGACGTCCCAATGTCATTGTTAGCCCGGCTACCTTCAGTTTTTGAATATTAATTTTGAAGGTAGCCGGGCTAACAATGACATTGGGACGTCAAACATCTCAGTCCCCCCCGTGACCAAGTTGCTGTAAAGCACCCGAAAGGTCGGGAATTAAAAATAAGTAAAATCAGTTAAATAAACGCGATAAAATCCGTAAATTTAGTTTTATTCAATATATCTGGGTATGTTTGACATCTTTTGCACTTCATGTGCAGACAATTTTCTGGAACGTACATTTTCTGAAGCGAGTTGCAACGTTTCTTCTCTGTAATATGCACTTTGCTGACTTCCTAATGCTTTTCGTTTTCTCTTCTGCACTTGGAACTTAGCCATTACCTAAAACAAGACACCTAATAAAAACAGAACACCTAATAATAAATACGACCACAAACATTACACCCCTTTTCATTTACAGGTACCTAATTATTTTGTTCAAGTGCCAACGCTACCTACCTGATATAGGCAAAGTCGTGATCTTGTGTTCTGTGTTCAAAGAGGTAACTTTTGCTAGTTGGTTTTAGTCACAAAATATGCACAGTTCAAAAGAAATACATTCGGTATACATTCTTGGCATTATCTACAAACTAAGTACTAATATGTACTAATATGTTTGATTTACAACAAAACCTTTTATTAGCAGTCAAATTTACAAATATTCCGCGTCAATGTTTGTTATGCGCGTTGTTCTCTTTACAAATTCTGAGAAATGATACCATCAATGAGATTATTACGGCAAGCGACATCACGGTTCGCTATCTATGAAACAGTGCTTTTACTTAATAAAATTGTATGCATAAATAATAAAAAGTTATCTGGCAGTAGAGGTACAAATTTAAACAATGATGAATAGGAAAAGTCACCTGCACTAGGCAAAGCCAGTTTTTAAATAGTAGACACTGGGCGTCAGGTCTGGACTGACGAAGTTGTTCAAAATTCCTTTGAACAGTAGCGGTAGAAATATGGCCCGTGTGCACGGGCGCGTTGCACCATGGTTTTACTAGGGGCGGATCCCCCATAAACAAATACGTTTTCAAAAATCTTACGAGGTGTATGTCTTTGTTTAACGAGGAACTCAATCGCGGCACGGTATTCAATTTTCTCCACATTGGCTCTCCGAATTAAATGACTATTAGGTTTAAACTTGTTAATATACTGATAATAAGTTACTCAATTAATAACTACCATTATGATCATCCCCATCCCCGCCAAAAAACTAAAAAAAACGGAAACCCTTCCAATCTGCGAGCTTTTTGACCCCCTCGTATCGTTAATTAAGTTTATTTTATAGTTACATTTTAAGGCTATGACCATATATCTTTTTTCTTTTTTAATTGTTTAAAAAAATTTATACATGGATTTTCTTCTGTATCTTGAAGGCAGTTTACATCATAAGGACAAACATCCATATCGTAAGATGTCAGTTCATATGTCTGTACTTTAAGGTAAATTTTAAATAAAATTAAATTTAATAAAAATAAAAATAATAATTTACGTTTAAAATAATGTAATAATCGTTTTACTTTATTTTTAAGTTATGAATAAACCTCACATAGACCTGACCAACCCCTATAACTGAGGTGATAACACGATAATTGATAGGAAAATAATGACATAAAACTGAGACAGCCAAGCTTCGTTGCGGATTATAGTTAACAGCTGTTTGGAATACTGCCAGTTGTATTTCCGACGTAGTGCTACTTCAAATATGTTTACTGATTTAATTCCATCAACAATGAATTATATTGGATTACTGATTATGAATAGTTCAAGGAAACATATACCTTTTTTAAGTCAACATTAAGTTAACAATGTTAACACTGCATATCATATTAATCAAAGTATCTGGTTGACCGAGCTTTGCTCGGTATTTTTCGCTCGGTTTTTTTTATTCGTGTGTTTTGGAAATTATATTTAGATAAAAATTACATACTGATGAAATATAAATAATATTTTTTGATCTTAGCGACATAACAGAAAAAACAGAACTGGTGATTTGAATAAAAAATCATGACTGCAATTATTTTAATTTAAATTTTCGTGTTTTTAAAAAAATACTAAAAAAGGGCTCGAAAAAATAGATTTTCTCAAAAAAGAAAGGAACTTGAAAAAAAAAAATTTAAAAAAGTCGGTCGGTCGGTCTGGGCTCGACCCGGGGTTTTACGATTCTGTGACCGCCCATTATACCAATGAAGCTATTTATAAAATCATTTACAATCTGTCAAAATTTACCTTCTTATTCTAACGATATTGTAGCAGTTTTTCATTGCCTAAAAACACGGACAAAAAGACATTTTCTAAAAATAAATCCTAGCTAGATCGATTTTTTATCCCCGAAACTCCCTGGACACTAAATTTTATGAAAATCGTTGGAGCCGTTTCCGAGATCCCGATTATATATATATATATACAAGAATTGCTCGTTTAATAGTATAGGATAATTAATCAAATTAAACTGTCTATTACACATTAAAAAAGCAAAAAATGTAACCGCAGTGTAACATTTTAATAATTAGTCTTACTTATTAAGTAATTATTGCCTAACTAATGGCAACTAATAATGTTAAATTAACTCAAATTAATAAAAAAACTGCGGTTGCCAACCCGCCGGCCAAGTGTCTTTTAACCCTTCCCCCGTCGGATGACCAGACGCTCGGTCAGTCTACACTCTTTTTTATATCGGTATACCGCTAATTTCGAACGGCAAATTTCGAAAGCGGTTTGCTTCGTAAGGCCCGGTTTCCACCAAAGCGGAGAGGAAAAGTGTAGTGTAATGTGAGCTGTGAGAGATTAAAACCAGTCAAGTTCTATCTACTAAAGGAAGACATCATGTCATTACAAAAGTTGTATCTGAATTTGCTTGAGGAAGAGGAATTAGAGGTTGAAGAAACACAATTCATTGTTCAATATTTAAATTATCGATGGCAATATAGGTTCTGCGAGGACAAGGCAGCGGGGTGCGCAAGCGTGTGCACCGCCCGGCCCAGTCCGGCCTCCCGACTAGACACTTCTCCGCTCTGCCGCGCCGCTTGCTCGCTCGCCGCACAAAATTCTATAGAAAAATGAGACATCTCCTCTCCTATCCGCTTGATCCATTTCCACCGAAGCTAAGCGGAGAAGAGATGTGGAAATAACGAAAGATTGGTTTATTCAAACACATCTCTCGTCTTCTCCCCTCTCTGCTTTGGTGGAAACAGGGCCTAACTCATGAGGAATTGCGACAAGTGTAAACACCAAAAGAGTGGAAGGTAATTTGCCTATTACTTTCCATTTGATTACAATGTGGACGTCTTAAAGACATCACAACTTACCCTCCGGTGGGAGTGGTCTAATACTGACTTAGAATAGGTAACTAAAAAAACTTACATTGACGACGTTTTTAATAATGAGTACTTTATAACTTGATTTCTTTGAACGTTTGCTTTTGTCCATGAATTGTTTGATAGAAACGAAACATTCGAAAATAGGGCAATTGCTGCTGCTATAATGCTATTATGATTTTAAATTTTTACAGGACAATATGCCTATGTATCATAATTATGTAAATTACAATTGTATTTATAAATTCATTGGTGTATTATTTACCCTAACTTCGTTATATCCTTCGAACTTAAAAAATATGTCCTATAATATTCATCAGTACTATTTCTAACGAAGAATAAGAATGTGATTAATTAGAGTATAAATTAATTAGCTTTTGTATTAAAAAGACGTAAATATATTAGACGTAACTTTGTCCTCTCAATATATTTACGAAAATTTAATGTATGTAATAATTTTTTTTTAATAGTGATGTTCATTCCATAAATACTAGGAACAAGCACAAGCTAGTTATACCAGTTACTCGACGTCAAAGAGTCAGTAATTCCTTCATGGGGCTATGTGCAGACCATACAATACTATAATGCACAACAGAACGGCTGTCAACCTTATTTTGTACGAGGATCGGCGTCGCCGGGAACACACATACAAGCAATTACGTTGTATTATCAATTATCACTACTACAAACACATTTTAGACTTTTGATTAATGTTTTTGACACATAAATATTTCCTTATTTTTATTTCTAATATTCAGAAGATATATAATCGACTTACTGGTTGTAGAATATGTCTCCTTTATTAAAATTCCATTTCTCTTTCGACACTTAATTAGTACACAATTTGCCATTTTTTTAATAATTTGCATGCAGCGACGATTGACACGAAAATTGGAAACGATTGGTTGTGTTAACATTTATAGGTGTGAATTGACATATTAGTGACATGTTAGTGGCTACACGGGCTCCGCCCACTCCCCCGTTCTATTATGTGTGTATTATAGTATTCTATGGTGCAGACCATAACTCCATTATACTAAAGATTTTTAAATATTTATTAGGCAAAAATTGTTTAGTAAGGTTTAATAATACATTATACTACTAAAGAGTACATGGATTGATAATAACCCCTGGGAATGAAGTGATCGCTGCCATGATATCTATAACATCTTCACACCAATTGTAAAAACAATACATTGTAAATTAGATTTGTTTAAAAAAAAGTCCCTCGGGGCTTCTTGCTGCTTCTTCCCAAAACAGAGGTTTTGTCGGAACCAGTGGTTGTCACGTATCGCCTGGTATACAAATTGCTGATGGAAGTACTAGATGTTTCACATTTATTACATACGATGTAGTTTTCCCACACTAGTGTTGGTATTTTACAACTTCGATGTAGTCAAACGGCGATCTATCTTTTTATCAAATCTCCGACCTTTTTACTTTTATAAAGTAAGGTTGGAAAACAAGCACATAGTCCATCTGATGGTAAATGGATGCTGGATCCCATATACATCTACGATCTATCCTCGAATAAGTATTAGTTAGATAAGTTGTCTTCCCTGAGGACTAAGATGGAGTACCTCATTTCCAGTGAAAATTGTCTCCGCTTCTCTACACTCAGTATGCAAAACAGCAGAAATTAAGCTGTTATTTTACACTAGTATTCCATGAGAGCGTGGTCCACGGTTGAGCCGCCCCTTCCGTGTTATAACCACAAAATAGCTGCAGCATGGCTCTACCACGTAACGCATTTTCTGGCATATCCCTTGGTTGACTCTTCCAACACTCACGGGGCGAAAAGGGGTGACTTACTTTTTGCAGTAGCACAAAACTATTGCTCCAATCCTTCAACAGCAACTATGGGGATATGGAGGAGTGCGTTGTGAGAGAGTAACATACGGACTTCACGTTTACACGACGAACAAAACGAGTATTTTTTTTTTACAATTTACACCCGCACTTGTACTAAGCGAAAATGTTTATAATAAGAAATTTTATGCCCAGAATGCCCTTGTTATAGTAGGAGAGCTGGCGAGAAAAATCGACAAGAGTTTTGTAATGGCCAATAATTCGATATGGTTTAGCATTGAGGGTGTAGGTATATGAGTCAGCACCCACTCGTAAGGTCAGGTAGTGGAACACCTGGCTGCGCGGCGACGCGCTTTGATGTATGTGTAATTGTTTTGTAATAATTGAAAATTGGCAGTAAGCTAATTTATAGTAAAAAAAACGCGAGAAAGTATGGATCGCGTAGTTGTGAAATGCGCGAACTCAGCACGCCACATAAGTTATTGTCATAGTGACGTCAGTACAAGAGTTCTGTAATGCCTGAAAATTCATTTACTACATATCAGAGAATTTTACACCATGTAAAAAATCAAAAACTGTATATTTATGATAGCTTTTGTAAAAAAAAGTAAACAGGAAATATTGATTTCTATTCATAAAAATGTGTAATTCAATTTTAAGAATATTTTTTTTGTAATCTGTACCTCAAATCTCCAAATCGCTATGCGCCATATTAGACACTATCGTGACGTCACTGGTTAAATGAACCTTACAGCTAATGTACTGTATTATTTATAAAATTTTCAAGTAATTGCTACGATTGTTGACATTTATTCCGAATTTTATTGAAAAGGCATCATGGACATACCGTCTTTACCATAAGGGCACACGGGGCCCGTGTCCAGGGCCCCCTTTCATCACAGGGGCCCTCGTGACGAAAGGCCTTATTCGCTTACGTTATGCAATATTTTTCAATTGTACGAAAATATAACCCGACAAAAAAATTATAGAGTAAATGAGGGCGTTGTTAGTGACTTTCTGGCAACTCTAAGCAGTGACTATCCACAGATTGTCGAGTTAGCCAGGCATTTACAGATTTCCTAGTTACTAGGTAGAAAATAAGTAGTTCCGCGTTTCGCCGCCATCCAAACGTTTTTGTCGGGCTGTACAAGTCGCCTTACTTATAATCTGGATCTTTTTTAATTTTCGGCGATCTATGTGGGTATAATCTATAAGACAAAAATATCATTTCGTACTGCTTAATAAATATAACACTTCAAAATATTTAACGGTTAATGATTTATTTATGATATGATAATTTTCAACCACTGATATTAGATTTTATAGCAAATAATTGTTACGATCCTTATTTTTAGACAATTTAAGCCTAAATTTTAATGTAATAAATAAAAAGAATACACGAATTGATTTTTTACAGAATATTATCTTTTTTGAAAGAAAGTTTAGGAAAGAAACATTAGTTTTTATTAGGTTACATTTTCCTAAGAAATTGTAGTCCCCGCTATGAAACCTGTCAAATATTTTAGGCAGAAAAAGCCGTGGATGTCCTTATTAATTACATATTATTTGATTTTTACCAATTAACTATTGTTACGCGATGATGACTAGACTGGGGGCGTGGCTAATGATTACGTCATCGCGGTGGTGGGGTTTCGTGCTCAGAAAGCCGGTCGCCTTAGCAGGTTGCAGGGTCACTTTTATCTGTGGTCACTTTGGCTCAAACGGTCGGAGAGAGTGGTTGTGCTAAGTAGTTAGGTTGTACTAGTTCTGGCGCACTGTAGAAAGGTTGTACCAGTTCTGGCGCACGACGTTCGTCGACTCACAATCCTAAAAAAAAAAAAAAAAAAAAAGGTTTTGGCATGCTCTGATCACGAATCTGCGGTCCATTTTTGCGTAGGTCTAATTGATATCCGCTACGAGCCTCAACCGTCATTAGCGCTCCATTGTCTACTTATCTATTGTTGATTGACTACCGTCATTATCTATTATTCGTCAGCGTGTGGGTCGGCTTATGCTATTGTATTATACTCCTTTGTTCCTATCTACAACACTAATCTGAATCATCAATAAAACACATTACCTAATTTTGTTAAAATTTTTATTTATAAAATACAAAATCTTATTACTTATTATCTATAAAATAGGAGTGAAACATCTCATCCACTAACATATCGTTGTACAATGTGTTCTCTGTAAATATACTCGTAAAACTACGCATTGAACATCCCTGAAACTTATATAGCAAATACATTAAGCAATATTCGCCACAAACTGAAGTCCTATCAACATTCCAGTTCCATCTTTTAAACACATTACCTAATTTTGTTAAAATTTTTATTTATAAAATACAAAATCTTATTACTTATTATCTATAAAATAGGAGCGAAACATCTCATCCACTAACATATCGTTGTACAATGTGTTCTCTGTAAATATACTCGTAAAACTATGCATTGAACATCCCTGAAACTTATATAGCAAATACATTAAGCAATATTCGCCACAAACTGAAGTCCTATCAACATTCCAGTTCCATCTTTTACAATTTCGTACAGGTGCCCGTCCATATGAATCAAAATATTCACCGACGTCATTCGTATTGATATATAAAGCTACCCAATGTGACCCTGGTTTATCATCTTTACCCAAATTGCATATTACCTAGTCAGGTCATAAATTCTATCACATGTTTAATGTAAAATAATTGAAACAAGTTTATTCATTATGTAACCATTTATATACCAAAATGAACTTAACAAAACATAGATTCTTATGACACTATAGTTTATTCAAAATGACCTCCGTAATTTTGAATACAGGCCTTCAATCTGCGCGGCCAGTCGTCTATCTCACCACGAACGAGGTCCATGTCATATCGGCGGCTGCCTTAATTAAAGATGTCTTGAGTGACTCGAAATTGGGATGAGGCTTTGAGCA